TTGAATGTAGGTACAAGATCCCAACAGTGAATGTAACTGTACTGTATCCCTAAAATGTACCAATAAACTCAATTAAAGCTGAAAAAAAATAGCTTGGTCTACATGAAGAGTGTGAGACTAGAGTAATAACATTGGTGTTTATGTCACTTGGATTCACTGTGTTTCTTTTTCTTAGTTTATAAAATGTTTATTTTTTCCCCACCCCTATATTATTTTTTGTGGTAAGACAAAAATACTTAATTACAAGCCTTTAGAGATAATCATCCTGAACCCTTTATATGTCAGAGAGGTAAAGTATGTGTAAGTAAGTTGGCCACAGAGTTGTCACAGCTGAAGCCCATATAATAGGTCTTTTGACCATTCATCCGTTTTAGGTAAAGCAGTGTCAGATTCTTTAAGTACTTTAACTGAATGACAGTATTTCACAGTGAACTAGTTCACATGAACAGTAACTAATGGTTAACTTTTAAGTAGCTGAAGTTTTTTGTTACTCATGTCTATTTCTTTTTTTTAATTAATTATTTATTTATTTTCCTCATTGAGTTTATTGGTACATTTTAGGTATACAGTATAGTTACATTCATCATTGGGATCTTGTATCTTTACATGACAGGCCTTAGTTCTAAATATTAAAGAATTGTATTTATGTATTAAGCAATTCTGAGTGTAATTTAATCTTTGTGGCTTATAAATTTGTTATGAACATACTGTAAGTATATTCAGACTTATACTACATACTAGGAATTGTATTTGGTGCTGGTATATTCACATTAGTAAGCAAAATAGACATGTTGTCCTTAAAATTGTAGCTGTGCAATTGAGAAATTATTGTATTGTTCTATGACAGATATTCACAGAGGGTAGAGGACTGTTTTGGGTTATGGGAACTAACAGTTTTGGACTTCATTTCTAGCTTCCTGTCCAGTTTTCCCCAATGCTTTTCTCTTTTTGTCTTTGCTGATTTTTCAGTGTTAGGAGATTCTTGTGGACTGGAGTTGTGTTGAGGTTGTTTGTCGTAACTGAATTGAGATATTTGATGGAGTATTAGATCTCAAATACCAAGAAACATACTGTCTTCTACTATTTGAAAGGTTAATTAGATAAAAATATGCCTCTTTTAATACATGTTTTTGAAGTGTTATGTAATATTGGATAATAGGTGTTAGCTTTATAATAAAAGGAATTGTTTCATTGTTTCTCCAGAGTGTTATGGAAAACAGTGACAGAGGTGCTTTGTTGTCTTCGTCTCTAGCCTTTACACCACCAATCAAAACCTTAGGTACACCAGTGCAGCCTGGAAGTACTCCTAGGATTTCCACCATGAGGCCTCTTGCTACAGCATACAAAGCTTCTACTAGTGACTACCAGGTATTTAAAGGATTGGATTAAAAAAATGTACTAAAAGGCTGAGAGCATACCATGTTTAGCGGTTTCACTGGATTGATCGGTGTATTATTCATTATTTCCTGCTGCAATGACTGGCTTGATGAAACCTTTAAACTTCTTGAATTTTCAAAATAAAGGTAGAATCTCACCTGATTAGAAGGTTGCCTTGAACTTTTAAAATACCAAGGCTGGGGTTGTGGCTCTGGAAGAGCGCTTGCCTAGCATATACAGTGCTTGGGCTTGATCCCTAACACCATACAGTTTGTTTTTCATAGGTATTCTTAAAACATTCTGAAAGCTTTTTTTCTACTATATTTGTATATGTACAGACTGTCTTCTGGGGGCCAGGGACTTAGCTTAGAAGCTCCTGCCTGGCAAACGTGAGGTCCTGAGTTCAGTCCCTGGCATCAAAAAAAAACAAAACAAACAAAAACAAAACAGACTTCTGTACACATTGCTGGTATGATGCAGCTTTAAATTCAATTCAGTTGCCTAAAACTGATGGTATCACAAGTGAAAAATCTTGGGTGGAATAGTCTTGGTTTTGAAAAAAGACATTTGCTAGCTTTTATTTTAATAGATGAAAAAACTTATTTCAAAAGTTTTTAAAAGCTAATTGTATTTTTTGAAGAATGATAAAAGAATTGTGGTTCTCACTGAATATATTATTGTCTCCTTGTAATTCTCCAAGAGTTCGGCTTTGTCGGCTGCAAACACAGGTCCAGAATATGAGCATATAAAATACTTGTGTTCTAGTAAGGCAAGTAGTGGCTATTTAGGTTTTGTTTTTGTTTGTTTGTTTTTGTAATAGGGATCAATCAGGACCTTGTGCTTGCAAGGCAGTTGTGGTGCCACTGAGCTAAATCCTGTCTGTCAATGTTTAATAGTTTGTTTCTCCTAAAATTTAGAGATCATTGTATTACTTGTTTTCCCAAACCTGTTTGAATTCCCCATTTGTTGTATTTTTCAGTTTTCTAATTTAATGAACAGATATTTTTACCTTGTCAAGGAATGAGATTTTATCCCTTTTAAAAGCATTAGGATATTTTATGTTGTAATCTATAAAATATGTAATTTAGTGTGATAAATGTATTTTTGAATTTCACTTTTAAAGCAGCTTTTAAATTGTAAAACTGACTATCACTGATGGAACCGTAACTTAATTTGCATGTGTTTGTGTTTTTTCGTAGGTTATTTCTGACAGACAAACGCCAAAAAAAGATGAAAGTCTTGTATCCAAAGCAATGGAATACATGTTCGGTTGGTAGTATGATAGGAACTAAGAACTACCAAGGAGGAGGTTGCTACACTAAAAGCAGCTCCCCAAGCACCGCCAGTTTCCTTCGGTTAGTTGTATAACCACTCAGGGCAGTTCTGGCTAGCTGTCTCATACTTTTTCTAGAAGCCTTTTTCTGTAAGGATACAGCCTGTCACTAACTCGCATTTTAAAAGATGCTTGAGATACTTTTCAAAGGAAACTAAAAATTCCTGTAGATCGGATTTTGTGCTCTCTGTGATAGTGCATGCTGACACACAAAAACCAGCATCGATTACTGTAAATTAAATGATTGAACTTGTGGGATGCTCTGTGGTCTTTGTGAGAAGATGGGTGAATTTCATGAAGTTGCTTGTATCAAGGCACAATGATTATAATTAGTTTGAATTATGGTCTTTTAGATAGTATTTAATATTTTAATTATCTTTGTATATGTCCTGTCTTGAATTATCATCCTTTGGTGTTTTAAAACCCATTCTTTTAAAAATACTACTAATAAAACTTCTTGATTAAAAAACTTTGCCAATTATATGTATTGAATATTTTTCATAAGGGTGATATATTATTTTTACAAAAGGTTTTAGGTGTCCAGTGGAGTAGAGAAAATAATAATTTTCACAGACCTGTAATCCAGCTTCATTTATCATTAAGTTTTGCCATAGTTGGTTCTTTTGTTTAACACACTCATGAGACCATAATTTGTGTGCCTCGCTGCTAGGGTGCTTGAACCACTGGGGGCACATGCTGTCCCTGCAAGGACTGTACCACCAGGAGCACAGGCCGCCCACGGAACAGTCACGTGTGTGCCACCAGTGGTTCATATTGTTTTTTTGGGTTTTGTTTTGTTTTGTTTTGAGACAGGGTCTCCCTATGTAGTTGAGACTGATCTGGAACTCACTATGTAGCCCAGGCTGGTCTCGAACTCACAGTGATCCTCCTGCCTCAGCCTCCCGAGTGTTGGCATTACAGGCGTGCGCCATCACGCCCAGCTTCCAGTGGTTCATGTTGACAGGGACATGTTAGAGTACATCTCAGATGAAATTTTAATCTAAATACTGGAGAGTTTATTTTAAAAAATGAACATTTCATAGTACCAGTATATTATTCAACAGTTAATAATTTCTTAATATTTAATATTCCATAGATTTAAAAATTTCTTAGTTATCTCCAAAATGAAGTACTAATGTTTGGTTTTTTCAAACCACAATCTAAACTATGTCTGCGTAATGTACTTTTAAAAAATTTTGTTGTTTTTCCTAAGTACCTTAAAATGTAAACGAGTTCCCTCTCTAACCCCCTCCATCCAGCAGACTATGTATGACTTTTTGAAGGAGCCATGTGATTTGCACATAGTGTCTCACAGTCTGAATTTAGTCAGTTGCTTCCTTGTTCAACTTGTCATTTATTTATTCCTTACCTCAGAAGTCAGGGCTAGAGAGGATTAATTAGCTTCTCGTTTTGTGTTTGCAGAAGATACTTGTTAGTAGTATAGTGTACTTTATATTACATTAAGACAAGTGGTATATAGCTAGTTGTCTCACTTTTAATTATGCTTAGCTTGATCACTGGGCAATGAGTAGAAGCCTGACACTTCCATTGGAAAGTTCCCTACAACCTTTATACACATTGTTTTAAAAAGCCTGTATTAAAAAAAAAAAAGCTGCATTGATGTACTTGCCTGAATCAGTTATTTCACGAAGGACTGTAAAATGGTGATTTCTCCCCAAATTTGTCATTACCTTTGCATGTACATGGTGGAATTTCCTTGTGTAGAAGAACCTTGCTCTACTCTGGCTGTTAGGTTACCAACGTATACATTCACACAGAATGGCGGCTGGATACCTAGCTCCTTTCCCCTTAGCAGCTTTCAGAGTGATGCTTGGTGCCTTGACAGCTGCAGTGGTGTCTTATGATCTTAAACAAATTTTGTCTTGTTTCTGTTTCTGATATCACTGTTTTTTTCTTAGTATGTGGTACCGGGGATCAAACTCGGGTCCTTATGCTTTTGAGGTAGGCGGTGGAAACACTGAGCTAAATCCCCAGCTCTATACATTGGTGATCTTTAAAATGCACTGTTGCAGTCAGTTACGATCATTGTCCTTTTATTCAAATTAGCCCCCCCCAGTAAGAATATATCAAAGTGGCTCTTATGAGAAAGAGGTTTTTAATGGAAATGGCATTTGACTCTGGTACATGTATTCATAGTCTGCATCACCTTTTCATACATTTTTAAAAGAATAACTAAAACCACTTATTATGTGGAAGGTTTTGCTGTGTTTCTTAAATCACATCAGACTACAGTGGAATAATTCAGTTTTCTGAGATGAAGTGGTGTAAGGGATGTCCTGGCATGGATGACAATCTGTTTACCATTACATTTAGAGAGCATTTTTTATCATAAACCTGCATTGCACTTTTTCTCTTCCAACTTAATACAGGGTTATATTTTATGTCCTGTTTCGTTACATGCAGGACTCAATTATTCAAGGTAAAACTGGCTATTAATTTCCCTTAAGAAAACTTTTTTTGGATGGTGCATGTGTGCACACATTTTTTGTCAAAGGGCTAGGTGGTGGTGGTTGTTTTCTTCTTTTTTTGTGAGGCAAGGTCTCCCTTTGTAAGTTCAGGCTGGCCCTGAACCTACTGTCTTGCCCAGGCTGGCCTTGAACTCTTGTGATCCTCCTGTGTCATCCTCCCGAGTGCTGGGATTACAGGCGTGTGCCACCACGACCAGCTAATTGTTTTTTTTTTGGAGGGTATATTTTATTTCCATAGGGCTTCTTGGAACATGAAGTTTGTTCTCTGGCTAAAAAAAGATTTGTTTGCTAATATTTGAGTTTCATCTTCCCTCGATATCTTACTCATTTTTGTGTCTATCACATCAATTATTTAAAATGTTCCAGGGCTGGGGATTTAGCTCAGTGGTACTGCTCTTGCCTCGCAAGTTCAAGGTCCCGAGTTTGATCCCAGGTACCAATAAAATATTCCAGAGAAATCTCAGGAAGCAAGCTACTGTATTCAGCACCATTTAAAAAACAAAAAAGGAGATAGAAATAAGATTCCTGTAAAGCTAGAAAGGCCCAGAACCATACCTAGGAAAAGTTCAGAAAAGCCCATTGACACAGAAACTAAAGTTGTCGTCACAGTGAGTTACAAAAAGAACAGAGGACAAAGAACAACACCATCCTCAGCACACCAAAGAGGCAAGCCCATAAAATATATAAAAACTATGACTTAGCCCTTAAAATTGATTGTAAGATGTTTATAAATTGATGCAGGATGTGAATTATAATAATCAGAATGTGAAAAAATGTGAGAAAAAAATTAGAAAAAGGAAAATTACTCAAATTTAAACCAGAATAAATGCAGAGCAGCAACAGGAAATGCTTTAAAGGAAATAGATAAAAATGGAAGCTTGTGAGCAGGGAGTGAAGCTCAGTGGTAGAGTGCTTGCCAGCAAAACAACAGTTGTAATAATGGAGGATGACTAGGAGTCAGAAAAGAGACAAAAAGGATTAGGAGAATGAGATTTTATTTTATTTTATTTTTTTTCTGGTACTGGCGATCAAACTTGGGTCCTTGTGCTTGCGAGGCAGGCAGTGGCACCACCGAGCTAACTCCCTGGCCCTAGGAGAATGATATTTTGGAAACAAAAACATACTTCATGTGTATAAAATATGGAGAGTCTTGGCTGGAACAAGCAGGGGATTTAGAATTACCTCCTGAGGAAGCATTCTCCTTAACCTGGGAAAACCAAAAGCGAGACATAAACTTGGTATTTGGCTGTCTAGGCAAAATCAGTCAGTGACTTACAAGAGCAAGAATTAAACTGCAGCACTATGCCAGGGGAAGAACAAAGTTAACATCTTTTGCAGGGCATGGTATCACACACCTGTAATCTAGGTATTTTGGAGGCTGAGGCAGGAGGATCACAAGTTCAGGGCCAACCTGGGCACAGGAGCAAGACCTTGTTTCAGAATAAAATGAAAAGGGCTTAAGATGTGTCTCAGTAATAGATGTTTGCATTGTGTGTGTGAGGCCCTGGGTTCAACTTCTGATAACCACCACCAAAAACAAAACAAAAAGAAGCAGCAAATTTTATTTCCCTGCTCTGTGGTGTTACTATTCTCCATTAATTATTGCTGTTGTCTGTATTGTGTCCATTTTGTTATTTTTGGGCTTGGGGTTTTGTTATGCATACTGTTGGGTAGTCTTTTGAGTATGTCTGCTTTACTTGGTTTATGTGTTAAGTCTTATTTATTTCTGGTCTGATTGCTCTATATTCATTATTGAATAGGATTTGTTTTCCCCTTTAATTCTACTATATTTTATTTCATGTGTTTGATATTCTGTCATGTAGAGGAATGTTTATAATTGTTGCATCTTACTGTATTGAACGTTTTATTATATAATATCTTTGTCTCTTGGTAACCTTTTTTGATTTTTTTGTTCAGTATTAGTATGGACACGCCTACTCTTGATTACTATTTAAAAGTAATAATCTCTCTTTTCTATTCTTTTATTTTTCAGTCTGTTTTATCTTTGAATCTAAAGTGAGTACAGCATGTAGCTGGATCTAGTGTTTTGATCTATTTTTCAATCTGTCTTGTGGCTGGGAAGTTTAATCCATTTTCATTTAAAGTAATTGCTAATAAGCAAAGATTTGTTTCTATTCTTTTGCTATTTGTTTTCTATACCTCTCTTGTGTAGTTGAGTTTTTGGTAATATAATGTTTAAATTATTTTTTTCATTTCTTTGTATTCTTTAGCTCTTTTTTTGTGTTTGCTATGGGGATTACCTTTACTATCTTAAAATGTAACTCAAATTTATACCAGTCTAACTTAAACAGCCTGTAAACACTTATCTTTTACAGCTCTGTTCTTAACATGTTTCCAATTATTACCAAATTACAGTTTATGTATCACCATGCCCCCAAACAAACTAGTAATTCTTTTAAATACATTGATCTCAAGTTATGTAGAAAACAATGTGAAATTATAACTCAAAGTTACAGTAATTCTAGGTTTTAGACAAATAGTTTTTTAAAATGTAGGCATTTCTTAAATCATGTAGAGAACAGAAAATAAAGGTACAACTGCTATTACAGTACCATCAACTGTGTTGTTGAGATTTTAAAATTCTTTTTATGACTGTGAAGTACTCATGTTCTTTCATTTCACCCTGGAGGAATTCATGTGGAGTAGATCCAGTGGAAACAACCTCTCTTAGCTTTGATTTGCAAAGGTCTTAATTTTTCCCTTCCTTTTGAAGGATAGAGGATTCTTGTTTGTCAGTTTAGTTTTCTTTTAGTACGTCAGACATAACAGCCTACTTCCTTCTGGCCTCCCAAGTTTCTGATGAGACACCTACTGGTAATCTTATTGAAGATCCTGGTTTTGTAATGAATTGCTTCTCTTGGCCTCTTTTAGGAAGCTTTGTCTTTAGAAAGTTGAATGTACTGTG